GAGTTTGTTTAAAGCTCGGGGTTTGGGAGTTAGGGTTTAGTGTCCTTGGCTTCAGGAGCCTCATGTAGTTTTCTCATCTCCACCAAAAGCATGTTTCAATGACTACGCATAAATCGCTGTTCTTATTCAGGCCTTACATGTTCAAGTAGCTCTACAATCAGCCAAGCTAGCGAAGCTGGTAAGTAAGCTACAACAGTATGGACATGTCGTGAAGTTCCTGATCAGTAGCCGAGTTGTAGAAGATGCTCCCTTAAACTCCAAGCCCTAGTCGCTAACCCCCCCCAGGCTGTAAACCCTAATCTCAAACACCCTACACCCTGAATTCCTGAACCCTGTCCACAAATGCTTAAAGCCTGAACTCCCCACCCCTAAATGCCTAAAGCCCCGAATCCCTAAGCCCCTCAACCCTGAACCCTAAACCCTGAACACTCAACGCCTACATCTGAACCCTGAACCCTAAATCCTAAACCCTAAACCCTATAACCCTGAACCCTAAACCCTGAACCCTAAACCCTATAACCCTGAACCCTCAACGCCTAAATCCCCCAAAGCCCGGAACGGGTGGAAGGCACAGCGTGCGCAGCGTGCGCCCAGACCTGCCTTTCGCAGGGATCCCCAGGGTCTGGGTTTAGGGGTTTAGTACAGGGCTTAGGGTTTTGGGACCCGTGTAGGGATCCTTTAAAGGGGGATATATAGGGGTTATATGAGGGATATCATCGGGAAATTATAGGGATATTATAGGGTTTCAGGTATTATGTTTATCCTTTTCGGGGTATGGGATTCTTTATACTGATGTTTAAAGGATCCCTTTTCTTCCTAGGGTAATGTAGGCTAAGGTTTGGGGATGGAAAGGTTCAGATTTTTCTGCCTCAGGATTTTGGCATGTAGGGTTTAGGACATACGATTTAGGATTTGGATATAAGGCCTAGCGTTTTTAGCTATAGGGTTTTGGATCTCGGGCTAAGGCTTTAGGATTCAGATTTAGGGAAGTAGGGTTTAGGATTCAGGCGTTTTAGATGAGGCCTAGACTTTAGGGTTTAAGAGTTTAGCGCTCACGGTCTGAGGTTTGCCGGCAAGCTTCGTGTGAGTAGTTTCGTTCATGAATTCTAGCAAGGAGCCCAGATATGTGTATAGAAGCACAAACTGCAAACACTAGAGTCTTTGTATGCTATGGTGTAGGGTACCTCCGATAAATATCAATATGACATTTATAGTCATTCAGGCATCTACATTCCTGGGGTTATGGTATGTTGGAGGGCATGAATCATATCATAGGATTCCCAAACTGAGCGAGACACTACTTATTGAACATGTTAACTCAAGGCTTTGAAAGGATGTCTGAGCTGAACTACAAATATTATGGGGAATATATGGGTGGTTGTCAAAATTATGGTCCCTCTTTGGGTACCCTAAATATTAGGTGCCGTACTATAATCGGGACCCAAAAAGGGACCATAATTTTGACAACCACCCATATAGAAATACTGGAACTCATCAAATCGAACATCAAGTGGAAACGACATGAAAGCTAAGGGATCCGAATAGCCCAATGTAGGTAATATTTTTAGGCATTGCTACAAGGTTCCTGAAAACAATTTTTAATTTCTGTTACCTAGAATCCTAATATTTAGCTGAAATTATAATTTCTACTGGGGTTCCAAATCCCATAGAGATTGGGGCCCAATGCAGGCTAATATTTATAGATATGGAGCCCCAGGCGACTATTTGGGGTTTAGAATTTTTTGGAGGCCTTGGTCTTATGATGTACTTGGGAGATCTAGCTCCCTAACCCTTAAACCCTAGAGACAAAAACCCAAAACCCTGAATCCTAAATCCCTAAATTCTAAATCCTTAAACCCTACAGCCCTAAACCCTAAATCCCTAAACCCTAAATCCCTAACCCGTAAACCCTAAAGACAAAAAAAGCCTAAACCCAAAGTTGTTGAAGTCCGTGGACCTTTATCTGACAGCAAGTGTGCGGAGTTTAGGGTTCAAATAGTTTAGGGTTTAGAGTGCGGGGTTGAGGTTTTTGAGTTTAGGGTTAAGAGTTCAGGGTTTAGGTTTTAGAGTTTAGGGTTTAGGCGCAGAAGCCCTAAACTGCACGTAACCCGCTGGAATCCCTTGTTACATTGCATTTCTCGAAAGTACTAGGATCCCTACGAGCGGCACCCGTGCTCCGTCGTGATTCACGAAATTATATTCCTTTGTTTCCGACAAGGGCGCTTATCTGGAGAAACTGCAGTGCAATTCTAGACCCTAACCCTTACAAATCCTTATATCTCTACATATCCCCCGTATCAGTCCTTCTAACGGACCTTCATAGCAACCCGATTGTAGCCCTGACAAAGAACGTGGGTTGAGTACTGCCTTTCCTACAGGCTCGGGCTTAGGGTTTAAGGGCTTCGGCCTCGGGATTTCAGGCTCAGGGTTTAGGGCTTAGGGTGGGGCTTGGGGTTTGGGATGTGGGGTTGAGGGCTTATAGGTCTCAAGGTTTAGGGAATAGGGCTTTAGGCTTCTGGCCTACAGACTCCGCTCTTGAAGCGGTAGAACGCGATGAGGAGAGCACCGATCAGAAAGGTTTGATTCTTCCAGAATTTCCACTGAGGCCCGTTGAGCCCATTCCCGAATTTCCCTAGCTTGGCCAAGATGGTAGACATTCTAATCTTCAACCTACACACATAAATGCAGAAACGCCGTTTGCTCCTGCCTCCTTGTGTGTCGTTGCCCAGACTGCGGCCCCTTTGCGCAAAGCATGCATGACCGAGCCCGGCATTCTTTTGAACCACCCTCTATAAAATAAGCCTACTTATGATGGAAGTTTCCATTGTTAGAGGATTCTCTGAACGTCATTTGGACATTTCAGGCCTAAGGGTAGGCGGGTAGATGAGGAACATGGGGAGATGAGACGGATCCCCAAAATGAGATTACATAGGGAGTGATCTTGAAACTTCCACAAAATTAGGGGTGGTCAAACTCATGGTCATCTTGGGGTACCTGAAAATTTGCAGGGGCTGTATTACAGTGTAGACCCAAATTTCAAAAGGACACTAATTTTGACAACCTCCCTACATGTCCCAAGGTGGCAACGTACAGGGATGATGTGGGGACCTTTCTTAGATAGCTAACGAAGAGGTATGCAAGAAGGTTTATGATATCCTCCCTGATAGACCCCTCTAATATTGCATGTTCCCAAAATGAGCTAGAATCTTAACTCCTTAGAGGGGTGGCATATCAGGAAGTACATAGGGGAGTTTTATAGGGGTTATACAGGAGGGGGATGCTAGGAGTTAGACCATATATAGCTCATATAGTATCACATGCCTCCTTAGGAATATTCAATATTGGGGGGGTCGTAACATTTTCGGAAAGGGGTTTCTAGTTTGATGCATTCAAATGCTAGCCGGAAATTCCAGTTCAACTTGTTTTAAAAGCAGGGAGCTATCAACCCCGGAAACTAACATGAAGACTACAGTGCTTCTAAAAGGGGACTATATGGGTTTCCATGTTAGTTTGGGGGAGTGTAACCCCTAAAACACTAAATCCTTAAATCCTAAACCCTATATGACCCCTAGATTCCCCTAAAGGTACTTGAAACAACTTATCCTGAACCCTTACATCAGCCTGGTTTGGGGGAGTGTTTATCAACCCCATAGCACCCCATTCCGGCATTGAGGTGGTCGAATGACACTGAGCCGGGAGACTAAACTGCAGATAGATCCGACAGGAACCACAGGTTAGAGCCCCCCTTAAGTGGACAGAGTTTTGAGTATATGGGGATCTTAGTATAATATACCCAAAGCTATATTCTATCTACTTAGAAGGGACTATAGAGGGGACTTGGGCGCTTCGGGGATTAGGATATGGGAGATTCTCAACTTTTGGTGGCCGAGAATTTTTTCAACCTTGCACTTTACGGCATTTGTCACGTTCCGATAGCGATTACACTTACAGTGCTTCCAGTGCCTCGTGAAGGCTCTCGACTAGTCTACAGGGAACATCCACGTACCCCACTTGAACAAGTACATCCTCAGGCAGCAGCGAGGCGGGAGGCGCAGCCAGTGAGGGCCTCAGTACATGATGCTTGTTCTGAACACCACAGACTTGTTCCGTCGATCCAAGTTGACCCCAACATGGCGGCGATCCTTGGGATTCCTGTGGCAGCTTCAAAGCGAAAGCTCCCTCGAAGACTTCCGCGAAGACACAGGCCGAGCGGTGGAGGCGGGTGTGCGCGCAAGATCACTCGTGCAGGATGAACAGTGCCCAAATCTCTGGCCAGGAAGAGAACGACCTCCTTGGCGCCGCTGTTGAGGCCACTTCCACATCAATTCAAAAAACTCTCAATTTTCGTACATGCTTGTCCCAGGCCCAGCAGGTCGCTGCCACTCGCGCAGGCTGCCATGGGTGTACACCATTTGTCCTGTTTCCATGCGTTGCTGTTTGTTTCGGAGGCCGCCCAAGCGAGCTGGTGATGGCCCACGGCAGGGCAGTCATCGCTTGGGACCGAGCAGAGGCGTGATGGCTGACAGTAAACGCCCACACGCGTTCACTGAGGGTGCTATGTCCGACGCTCGAGCTGACGACTTGGCTCGAGCAGCGGCGGGCCTTTGCATCGGGACAAGTTTGTCTCCGAAGCTGTAGTTGCAAGGGCGGCTATTGCTTGCAGATGCCTGGTCATGATATCGCCCTGCCAGGGCAAGAGGAAGCCGAGGCTGTTGCGCTGCTCCAGTTTGCTTTGCGGCGAAGCCGTGCATTCCTGCAATAGCTGTAGTTCACCGAGCAGAGTAATTTGACGAAACTACCCACGCTGATCACTGGACTAAGTAAAACCTACTTTAGGGCTTAAGGGGTATAATGGTAAATCAAGCCGAAAAGAAAACGGAAATTGAAATGGAAACTGGGGTTATATAGGGGTATGTAGGGCTTAGGGCGTAGGAGCTTGGAGTTTAGGGCTTTAGCGTTTCTGCCTGAGGTTTCTTTTCTATTCCTTAGTAGGAACCCACATCCGGCGCACTTTCTGCTTCTCCTTCCTGCTCTTCCTCGCTGCCTGCGTCCTCCTGTTCTTTCGGGCTGCTGTTCTCCTCATCTTCCTCCCGCTCCTCCTCTGGCACACTTTCCGCTTCTCCTTCATCTTCCTCCTCGTTGTCCTCGTTGCCTTCCTCCTCTTTCTCCTTTGGGCTGCTATCCTCCTCATCTTTTTTCGGGTCCTCCGCCTCTGGGGCGCTTTCTGGTTCTCCTTGACCATCCTTGTCCTGCTCCTCGTCGTTGCCTGCCTCCTCTTCACTCGGGCTGCCTTTCTCCTCATCTTCCTCTCGCTCCTCCTCTTCCTACAGTGCACTTTCTGCTTCTCCTTCATTCTCAGTCCTTTGCTCCTCCACCCTGCCTGCCTCCTCCTCCTCCTGCAGCGCGCTTTCTGCTTCTCCTTCATTCTCGTTCTCCTGATCCTGGCCGCCTGCCTCCTCTTCAAGGCCTCCTGCGTCTTCCTTCTGACTGGCTGCGTTTTCCTCCTCCTCATTTTCCTGATCCTTTAGGGCACCTTCCTCGTCCTCTTCGTCATGCTCCGCCTTTCTTTCCTCCTCCCCTTCATCTTCAAGCTCCTGGGTTTGTGTTTTTTCATCCTCTTGCACCTTGCGATTATGGACAATCTTTCCGGGAATGATGCCTAAACCATCCTAAACCCTAATAAACCTAAACCCTGAACCCCGAGACCCTAAACCCTATCTGGAATAGAACCCAAAATCCCTCAATTCCAAAAACGTCACTTAGTATGGGATCCGTATAAGGGACGTACCGCCTTAGAATGTCAGTTCTCTTGGCACGTGTATAGGAGCGGGAGCAAAATGTAGGGCGTAGCATAAGAATATATGCATAGCACGTCAAACCCGGTTTCTTCACTCTAGGTTAGCTATACCCTAAACCCTAATCCCTAAACCCCAAGCCCTAAACCGTAGACCCTAGGCCCATGCTCGAATCTCTGAACCGTTTAGCATTGTTACGTTGGAGCTTTTATTTGGGGCAAGATTCGACTGAATGCATGCATGCAAAGCTCACACGCCTCGTCTTTGGCAATCAACGCCTCCATTTCATCGATGTCTGTATAATGAAGGGTTGCCTGGACCTTCCAATGTAGTTCCTGGCGAACCTGGTGATATGGGGATAATGGACAAGGAAATGGAAACTACTATGATGGGTTACATAGGGTTCAAGGTTTAGGGTTTAGGGTGACTCTCCAATGTAGTTCGTTGTTGGGTTTGGTATGGCTTTTGTGTAGGACTCTTATTAGGACTACCAAAAAAGTACTACATGGGAGGGTCTAGGTGAGGCTTTGCATTTTAAACACAAAGGCCGAAGCTTGCCAAACTCATTGGGCGCCCGCCGTAGCTCCCTTCTCAAAGGATATTATCTGTCATATTGCCCCTTTGATGTTCGGATTTTGTTTGAGGAAAGGCAATGTTTTTTGAGTCTTGTTTTCTGAGCTCCAAAACGCCGTATCATGTTGGGAGTGCAGGGCGAGGGATTTAGGGTTTGGGGGGTTTGGGGTTCAGGGAACCGTGAACCCTCAATCACAAACCCGAAGCCCAAGCCCCACGGGTTTCGGGTTTGGGGAGTTGGGGTTAAGGGAACCTTGAACCCTCAATGACAAACCCCAAGCCCAAGCCCTACACGCGCCTACTGTCGACCTTAGGTAGACGGCCGTCTGGTGCAAATTCATCACGACAGGAGGGCAAGTGGGCCTGCAGGTTTATGCGATTAGGCCTGAGCATACGGGGTTTTCCACAAATCAAGGGGCGTAAGACAACTTTGTTTGGGTCTATAGTAGGGCCCTCGATTTTCTAGTTAGATGCACGGCTTGGGCACGAGAGTTTAGAGTTCGGGGTTTTGAGCTTGGGGCTCAGCGCTGATGATTGAGGAAGTGGGGGTTAGGGTTCCGGGCGTTCGGGTTTGAGATGAGCTTAGTGTTTTCACATGGGCTCAGGGTTCACTGCTAGGGTTTCCTGCTTTGTTGGATGGCGTGTGTACAGAGGATGCTGATGTACAGAGTGTAGATGTTGGGATTTAGAGGTACTCGACCTGCCTCTAGCAGTATTATCAACCGTGAGAGTATCTGCGCTTCCTTTGCTTGTTATTGGGCTTTGTGGACGAGTTGCTGCTTGCTGCATAACATGAATCTTCAAGGCCTAACCAAACTTTCCTTAGCCCTAAACCCGGTTCTTCTTTGGCATCTCCATAAGACTTGGAGAGCCTCACTACACTCAAACCTACCGCTGAACACCCGAAACACCAAAAGCCTAAACTCTGGAAGCCCTAAATCCTTAAGCCCCTCGGCCCTAAAACCTAGATCCTCAAGCCCCTCAATCCTCAATCCTAAGCCCGAATAGACCGCTTTAGTTACCCCGAACCCTTCAAAAATGACCTTACAGCTAGCAGATGACTAACTTTAAGGGTTGGGGCAAGTAAAACCTCATCTGAAACCCTCAGCCCTAAACAGTGCGGCTGTACTTGGAGGAGGATGTTTCAAGCACGAGTCATTGCAGCGACGCCCTTGAATTGTGGGTTCTAGGGTTTATTACCACACTTAGGGTTTTGTGGCTGTAAAAATTTCAACACAGCAAAATTAAGGAAATTTGCGTACCCTAAGTAATGGTAAGTTGATATGGGCTTGAGGGTTTAGTATGTAGGGTTTGGTAAGAGTCCAACTCGTTGCCTTGCCAATCTGATGGCCCTGGATTGCTAGCGCCCCCAAAGAGACCTCGAAATGATCCTGTTGATTCACTATACCTAAGCCCCAAAGGTATATGTAGAATAATTGCCTTTTGGTCTGTTTTCGGAAGTTTTGGGGCCAGTATTTCACCTACTGTTGGGGGTCCAGGTACTGAGACTTATTATCGGATTGCGGGGTTTCGGGCTTTGGGTGACGGTTTTCAGGGTTTTTCTGCAGGAGCCTACAGGGCAACCAACTTTAGTGTCCTGCAAAAAACAGGCCCTAGGTAGTTGTAATAGTTATGTGGGTGGTTGTCAAAATTATGGTCCCTCTTTGGGTCCCCATTATAGTACGGCCCCTAATATTTAGGGTACCCCAAAAGGGACCATAATTTTGACAACCACCCATATAGGGCTAGTCATAGTATTATCAAGGATTACGTAGGGTGTAGGGTTTCGGGTTTCGGACATGAGCTATAGTCTAAACTCCAGGGCTCCCCCAGTTACCTGAATAGTAGGTTACCAGGCTATGTAACTATAGGGTATACAGAACCCAGTTCCCATTAGTTAGGTAACTGGAGCCCTGGGGAAGCTACTTTCCTAGAAGGGACAAAATTCGTCAGGCTTCTGCAGTTCTTTTTTATGCTTCAAGAAGCTTACCCTAAACCCATTGGGTAGTGAGGGTGTCAGGGTTTGGGATTGCAAAGGCGCAGGGTGTGAGGACGCAGGCATGAAACTTTTGGGTGTGGTTGTTTGGAAGTTGAGGGTTCAGGCTTGCAGCAATGGGGGGCAAGCTTCAAGCCCTAACCCTTAGTCCTTAGCTATATCCCTAATCCCTAAGCCAACCAAACCTCTAAGCCTACTTTGGCAGGCTCTGTTCTGAAGTAGCTCTTCAGGAAATTGAGTAGGCTTTATGGTTTGGGGTTGTGGCGTTAAGGGTTAGGCATTAGGTTTGGGGTTTTCGGGTAACGGGTAAGAAATTTGGGTTGGCGTTTGGGGTTTGGGGTTTAGGAATTAAGATGTAGGGGTTTAGGGCATACGGTTCTTCAAAAGGCGCTGCCGTTTTGAGGACAAGTATTCGTAGCAACTACCGCAATTCGCAACAATCACCACAATTATGGCTATTTTGAAAATCGACGCACCATTGTTGTGCTCTCAGGTATATCATTCAGGTGGTGCGCTATACTTGCTACCCAAAAGATGGTCCACAGTCTTGGGACCTTTGCATAAGTGAGCAAGAGACAAATTCAGAACCTAAGATCGCTGCTCCTTATCTAGATGAGTATCCAGGCCCCCAAGCAGGGATCGAAAAAGCTCCCCTAGCGTCATAATATGAAATGCAGACCCTCTTGAATTAAATGGCACGATAGTTCAATAGACAAAATCCTGCTGTATTCTCGGTACATGGCGCTTGCGTATTTCTGGGGCGTACTGAGGGGGCCGGAATAATTCCCAATGTTCTCCCTAAGGATTAGGATGCTTAGCATCGTTATTTGGTGCAGATTAAGAAGAAACCAAGCCCTCGTTCAAAATCTTTTGGCCCTTACACGAAGTGCCGTCCCCTTCCCCAGGTTTACCCGAAGCCCCGCAGGGACCTGAAAACTAGATCCCTTAGAGTCAGACGGTGAATTTTATAAGGGCTAGGTGAGGGACCCTAAACCCTAAACACAAGCAGACCGGGAATTCTATAGGGGCTAAGTGAGGGCTATTCTAGCATTACTTAATGGGTGCTTCAGGCTGAGCGGTGGGTGGATCCCAAGAAGCACCCCTACACAATTCGAAGACATTCAAAGTAGTGATTAAGGGTTTAGGATTTAGGGTCCTCACATTTACTCCCCCACTCCAATCAGCACAGTAGGACTGGGCCTGTTTGCAGATGATGCCTTTGCGCAAGGTGTTCCCAACCCCAGGCCCAAGCACCGCTGGGCGGATCCTTTGGAAGAATGTACGCTCAAATGGGAAAGAACATGGAAGATGAAATGGGAACTGGTCATACGTAGGGGTTTAGGATTCGAAACCCATATATTGGGGCAGAAAGGGGGCCTTTTCTTCCCAAAGGACAGGAGACTAAGACCAACTAAACCCTAAATCCTCATGTGGGCTATAGTTTAGAACTCTTAGAGGCGTTTATATTGGGGATTATATAAGGGAGTACTATGAGAATTTTTATAAGGGGGATACTAGGAGTTTAGAGCTTGAGCCCTAAACTCTAACTGGTAGCTCGTGGCTCACAGCCAACGCTCCTCAAATCAGCTATAGGCTAAACTCATAGTATCCCCCCTAATAACCCCTATATCAGGTTTTCGGGCTGAGGGTGTAAGACCCCGGACCCCTCAAGTGGAACTTCTGGGTTCAGGGTTTCTGTCTAGCGAGGGCTATCATGAGCGTCCTGATGTGCTGAGGGTTTCGCCACTCAATCTCTCCGCTCAAACTTATATCCTAAGCGCCTAAGTCCCTACACTCCACATCCAACCCTAAACCCTAAACCCTAAACCCCCCCCAAGAGCTGAAACCCTAAGCCTGGCTTAGGTGAATCTGTGCTTTCTGGGCCTTTGGGCCGTGGTGTTCCTAATCTTCGGAGTCCTCTTCCTGCAGACCAGCCAAGTGCAGGCTGCGGCATGTTTTTGTTGGGGTTTAGGTTGGGTACTGCCCCCCCCTCAGTAACAGTTGTATAATAGATATAATATGGTTATATATAGCCCTTAATAGGACCCCTAATATAAACTGTTACTGGGTGGCTGCAGTACCCCCAAGGTTTAGGGTTCAGGACATGGGCCTCGGGTTTAATCAAAACCCAAAGCGCGAACCGCAATGTGTCTATGATTGTGATTATGACATCTATGACGCCTCAAGACTGCTGAAGCTCTTAGCTCTTCAGCTTGTGCTCATCTAAGCCCTAAACCTTCAACCCCAAGACCCTAAAATT